ACCCCATAGGGCAAGAATCAGCCCTCCTGTTTTGGGCCTGCTCCTCCCCACCAACATGTTCCTTAGTGAGCTTAGATCTCCTGTGCTTTTCATGTCTACTTTCTTGCTTGTGTGCTCACCTCATGGATTACATCAGCACACTTCTGAGAACATAGTTAATTGCTACTGTAGTATCAAGTGCAGGAATAAAACACATGGCTTTTGCCTTGTTATCAACAGACAGCATATAAAAATATCTTCAAAATAAGCAATTCATTTTTAAAATTACATTTAGAAGTTCATATTTTAACACAAGTCCAATTTGGGGCATAGCCAACTTGGCAAAAACCCTTTCAAATTTTGGCTTATATTTTCCAGCACAAAAAAATACCCCCAGAGCTTGTAAAAATATCTAATGAAAAAGTGATTTTATTACAGTTCTACTATCCATCATTATTCCACCACAAAACCTTCCATTAACCTGGAACCAGTGATGTGGCAGCAACTAGCATCCCCTCCCCTCCAACTGCACCTGACCAGCTGGATAACAGTAACACCCAGCTGGCAGAAAAGGTTCTGTTCTATTGACTAAAAAAAGAGCACAAATTCGGTGGCACTAAAGTTCTGTTGGAGAAGTTATTTTCTAAGATGCACTGGAATTCGCCATCTCTTTCCTGCCCAGGAGGGTAGAACATGGGTGGAGAGGCCTACGTAACAGTCAAACAAGCTAGGAAGTAGGAAGAAAACTCAGGGGCTTTTGTAACTCAGTTACCTGGTAATGAAGTAATTTGAATTTTCATCACACAAGAGTTTTGGTAGGTGATGGGAGAAAGAGTTCATTTTTCCTTAGACAGGGTTATAAAGGAAAAATGCAAAGTAGTTATCAACTGGCTAACTTTGGGCCCGTCTATCCAGACAACATTTCTTAAAGACTGACAAAAGCTTCCCCATCTGTGCACAAGAAACTGCTATTTGCTGCACTTGTTTCTAAACTTATCCACAAATTTATGACTCCATTTTTATGCTTTTTCCAGAGATAGCACAAGTAATACTCCATATGCAGTGTACTGTGACTAGGTTCCTTAAGTAGCCTTCAGCTCCTCACATCAACAATCCCATGTGCAGACACACATCTACAGCTGGTGGCAAGGAATAAGCAAGGTTAACATTCAGTACTATTCATGCAAACACACTGGCAAAAACAAGACAACTACAGAACACTGAATAGGCTCCAATGGGAGTCTGGAGAACTTCTCCAGATATTATTGCTACATAAGAGTAAGGGAGATATAAAAGCAAAGAAAGATAATCCAGGGTCTCCAAATGGGATTGTTGGGCTCCAGGGTGCCTTCTCACAAACACATGCCCTCTTCTTTTCCACATCCCCAAACCATAAATTAACAGAAAAGCTATACAAATACAAGAACATGGGTAAGTAACCATAACCATGTAGATGAAGCACAGATCAAACAGAGCACCCTTGCCCCCTGCTGGCTGAAAGTAGCAAATGGAATATTTTGTGTCTTAAAAGCAAGGAATACCCAGTTAAAACAGATTTAAAGCCCCTCCCTTCCCCTCCCCCATCCAAAAAATAAGCCAGTTGTCCCATTATGCATTGAGCTATTTGCACATTAGTCAGTTCATCTCTTTTGACAACTACCTCTGAAAGTCATCCACTTGCTTTTTTTTTTAGGGTTTTAGTCCAAACTTCTTTCACTCACAACCTCCCCTCCATGACCAAATACTTGCCAATCATCTAAAACAAAAGTTCTCAGCCCCAGGGCATATGATTTAAGTATGTAATAGGAATGTTATACCTAGCATGAGCTTATGGGGTTATACTTCTGGAATTGACTGAAGTGAAAAATAAACTAGCTAAAAAATAAGGGCCAAACCATCTTCCTGAACACTGAGTCTTGAAAAATGATGCTAGCTCTAGGTTTTGGCCTCAGATGATAGCGTCATCTTAGCCTGTTTGGAGTCTTGCAGCCACAGCAAAAATGAAAATGATAAAAACACTGTGACCCACTCTGGTATCTGCTATGACCCATCAGATAACCAACACCTGGAGTGCCCATGTGCTATTGCTGGAGGAGGCAGAAAGAAGATTTTGCTGCAAGAAATTACAGAACAGCAAGAGAAGCAACACAAGCAAAAGAAACAGAGCTTTAGAGTACAAAGGAACCATGCCTTCATATATGTTGCTATAGCACCAGCAGAATAGTACTCAGCTGCTGCTGATGGCTTCAGGGTTCTACCAAAACATGGTATCTAACACGTTAAACAAGAAAGACATCCAGGTCATTAAAGAGTTGGCATGATTTATTTCTGGGAGAGTCAGTAACACAGAAAGTTAATCTGGGAAAAGCAGTCACTAGCCACACTCACCTGCCTGTATGTGCACACGATGATTTCTCTCAGGTGATAATGCATAGGTGTCATGGTCTCACTCACAGTATCCAGTGCCATATCTACCTCCTTCTTTATTCTGTGACCCTCTGGCAAAAGCTGGACCACCTTCATCACAACCTGGGGGACAGAAGCAGCAAGTCACTTTATTCCAAAATCTACATATTTTGAATAGCCCCCAGAAGAAGAGATTAATTCAAATTTAACCCTCATTCCCATCTGTACACCTAAATCCATGAGCTGTCTTCTGTTGTATATTGGTACCATTAGTTCTGTGAGCAAGTGTCTTTTTGTCCTGTGTTTTTTGCTCAGACCTCAGTAAAAATGAAGACTTCATCTGTGGCAAAGGCTCATGGGCACAACAGTAATACAAAAGGACAGTCACCATCCGCAAAGACCATAAAGTCAGATCATCTACAGTCAGGCTCCTTTGCATGCAGTAGAAAAGGGTTGCTTACTGGCCAGCTGGCAATAGCACTGGGGTGGCAGGAGACGACAGGAAATAAGATGACTACTGGATGTGAAACAGTGGACTACACATAGACGATGGTTTTGTGATTCATTGTAATCTAGCTGGTGCCTCTTCTAACTTCTCAGTATACCACAGGTATTTTTTTCCATTCTGGTCTTGTTCTTTTACATAATTAGGTTATCTATTTGACTAAACCTTTTTTGCTTTGAAGCTACTTCTGACAGTTTTCTCTTCTACTCTTAATTTACTGTGCCTTAAGTGCCTGTTTTTTACTTTTGGAGTTAACATACACTGTTGTTTTAAGTGCACTTGCTTCCTCCTCAGACCTTGAAAAGAGCACTTTATGCCTGAAGACTCGTCTAGCATCCTTCCTAAATACATTGCTGGTCCAAGAAAAGATATCACTATTTAAAACAAATCCTTACTTCTCACTTATTTCCTGGACCATCTCAGCTACAACAAAATCCCAGCCATGCTATATTCTAAAACACTTATTCTTAGGAGAAAGATTCCTAAAGAATATTTTACCTCTACTAAAGACAATGCCCAGAAAAAAAGGAGGACGCTCACCCCACACAAGCCACTGCTGAAATGAGTGGAAATGCAAGTGCTCAATACCTCTGACCCACAGTGTCTCTAATCCTGAGACACCTAAGAGCACTGGCCAGACTTTCTATGGCAGAGCAGGGACTAGAATACATGGGTATTTCAGATTCAGATGATTAAACTAGCCACCAAACCATCCTTCTGCTTTAATCCATTTGGTCACCTCAGGCTTCTTGGCTCAGCCAGGCGGTTAAGACAAACTGCTTGAGTTTCTTTTTTAGTTAAAAATCTCAAATGTCTGTTATTCAATTGCATCTCAAAACCAGCTATATGTTGGTAAGACAGGAGGAGCAGCTCACCAGTCTTAACAGAAATGCAGTATTACTTTGAAGTCTTTTCAGCCCAGGATGCAGAATGACAGTGGAGCTCTCTTACTTTTCACAGTAGATTACAAGAAATAGCTTCCCTTAGGAAGATGTCACGACAGTCAGGATTGTTAATCACTCTCAAACCCTCAGAGATTTATGTTTTACTTCACTATCAAGAGAGCTTCATTTTCCAGAACTTGCTGTGTTCATAGTACTTAAGGGCATGTCTGCATGCCTGTATCCAACACTCAGAAGTACCACCATGAAGCACACCTTGCATACTCACCACTATAGTACATGCCCCCACTGCCAAAAATGAAGCAACATAACCACTTTAGAGCAGGGGTGGGCAAAATGTGGTTCGCAGGCCATATGCAGCCTGCCAGGCTATTCTATCCATCCTACAGGGCCCCTAAAAAATTTAGAAAATTACTATTTATTTGCCCCTGGCTGGCTGTCATATGGCCCTCAATGGCTTGCCAAAACTCAGTAAGCAGCCCTCCACCCAAAATAATTGCCCGCCCCTGCCTTAGCGTATCTCTGAGCATGTGTCCAGGGTTTCTTTCAGCCTCTCTGTCTCATGTATGCTCACTGGCATGTGCTCATGGAAGCTCAAATGCAACTTCAGTGTCTCATTTCTGGATCTGGCACAAGCAGATTGGGAATGAGTGGGTGAAGCATTCATGGCAGGATTCACAGGCATGTCACAGAGGCAGTGTAGACTAGCCCTTAGGCATACCAGACTCCTGCAGGTCTCCAGGTAGGATGTGGACCTGCCAGGATTATGCACAAATACAACCACCACAACACTGTGTTGTTCAGAAACCTCCTTTGGAAATAAAAATGGCACAGGTATTTTAAGTGAATAATACTTGTGGCTTTCAGAAAACAAAACTGGTCAAAACAGTCCAATGCTGAATAGTGACAAAGTGGAGGCTGGGGTTAATAAAACGGCATAATCAGATACTGTCACTGGCAGATGAAAGGAAGTCTAGAAAGCTTGAATGCACAGCCAGTTAATTCCTGCACGTTGTTGGGATGTGGGTTGTGGGGTGAGTATGTAAGCTTGCTGCCATCTACCCACATGCTGTCTGCAGTTCTTGGACAGGGGAGTGTTCTTCTGACTGGTCTCCTCCAGGCTGCACATCTAAGAGCTAATCCTTGGTCTCCAAATGAAGTAAACATTTGCCACCTCCACAGATCACCTTAACAGCAAGTGCTAAGACTAACAGGTTATTTCTTGCTTTCCTGGTTCTCCTTGGGCATTTTATGCTACTTTAAATATCATGCTATTTCCAAACACAAAATGTATCAAATCTTAACGTCTGAGTCCTAAATAGTCAGATCCTGGAATCCACACTTTAACATGGTCATTACTAGCTATAAAGGTATCAGGAAGCCCGTTTCTGATGGCCTTAAACACAGATCCTGTCTCTTACTGGCAGACTCCGTCCCTGAACAAAACAGCTGAAAAAATGAGGCTGTGCCTAAAGGAATGGGATGCAAACAGCCCTTGAAGATTTGAGCAAAGCACCTCAAAATAATGGCAGTGATGATAACAGCAGAAGGACTCACCTCAAATTCCCCTTTGGTATACTTTGCATCAGGCACACTAACAATTTCTTCCTCGCTCACCTCAGGAATACCCTATAGCAAAAAGAAGCCAAACCAAATTGGGGCTGTTAAAATGCTAAACGAGAACCTCTTCTCACCTACAATGTAACAGGTAATAATTCTGAGACACAGATCTAAGCTCTGAACTGTGTGTCAGGAGAAATGGCTTTTCAAATAATAGTTTCTGCTATATACCTTCGCCCCCCGCCCCCAATCAATAGCTCTCAAAGCACTTACAGTGATGTTCCCCCTCCACCCCCTCCTCCACCAACAACCAGCAAGGAGTCAGTGGGGAAAAACAGGAATAGGCAACAAGCTGTCCAGATGTCCAAACCTGGTCTGTCCCAGGTTTGGCCTGGATTTGGTGAGCCATGTCAGACAAGTTACTGGGCTTTTGTGTCTTAGTTTTCTGTCCTGTTAAAAGAGACTCCCTCACCAGTGTATGAGAATTGCAATTCCTTGCATAGAAGGTGGTAAGAAACCAAAAAAAAGTAATCTGTCACACTAACTCATGTTCTTCAGCTAATTTACTGGCTACCCATATTAAAGGGTTCCGGACAAGGAGGTCCCTTTGTCTCCAGCATCCAAAGCCATTCCCTGAAGTCATCTGAAAGCACCAATCCACACACCTCATTGAAAAATCCCTCTTGCCACTGTGAGCTTTGTGATGCTTTTCAACAATGCTACTCAGCAGTCTCATCATGTGTGTGATTAGAGAATGCTCCACACCTGGCCAGCAGAGCTCAGAGAAACAGACTGGATCAGTCTGCAAGTGCTGTAATCAGGGCCATCCTGGGAAGGGGGGGGCACGGCAGCGCATATCGGGGCAACTGCCCCAGGCCCTGCACTTTGAGAGGCACCATAGAGCCGAGCCGAGCCCAGCTGCCATGGCCCTTCTTGCAGGGCCTGCGTAGTGCTGGTGACTCCACACTGCTGCCAGCAGCTTCACATCGAGCCACTCACCACCACCCCACCACCACTGCCGCCGGCTTTTTTGCGTCTGGGTCCCACACAGGCTGATTTGCCTTGGACCCCGCACCCTGCTAGGGTCATATCTGGCTGTAACGAGGCAGGAAGTACTCGGTCACTGATTTCTTCTCCTGCATGGCCCTGCTCAGAGAAGCAGACACACCTCTCTGGTCAGCTCAGGAGCAGTGTAATAGAGTCTTATTAAGACACCTCACTCTACTCTAAGGTTGCTGTGAATGCTCCAGCACAGCCCACTTTCACTACTCAGAGTAAGGGCTTGGCTCTGGTATTTAGAATTAAAGATTAAAGAATCACTCCTCTGTTTCCAGCCCTCCATCCGCTGAAAGGCCCATCCCTGAGCAAGTACCTACATTGAAGTGCCAAAGTGTGAGGACAGCAATAACCATGGCTGTGGTGGTTCTCCCTCTGCCACTGTGGCAGTTGAACACAAAGGCCGTGTGGGAATCTTCAGCCAACGCACTCTTCATTGCATCCAGCAGCTGATCAAAATCCTGCAGAAGGAAAACATAAAAGGTTAAATATGAACTTTTCCCATTGGATATAACCACAGATTCTGTTTTAATTAAGAGCAGTTTTTGCACAAAGTATAATATAAAACAAGAAAATGCATCTTGAGAGTTACATCTACAACACCCTCTGAGCCACTCAACAGTAGTTCATAATCTGCCTCAGGTACTGTGGAGAGAATGTGACCAGTGCAACATGGCAATGCCTATTCCAGAAAATGCCATAAAATCTCTAACTTCTATCAGAGTGGCAGCATGTATGCCCAGGCTGCATTACAGAATCAGCTGTGAGGTAAGATCCTACCTACTCATGTAGAATACGAACCCTTTAGGCCAACAAGAATGCCACTGTGTTACTATCAAGCGTATGATGACCTATTCTTCCTGAGACTTACAGGAAAAAAAACTTGCATGACAATTATGCCCTTTAACATTCGATTCATATATACAAACTCCCTGAACTGGGAAGACTCAACACTTCTCCCTGCAAGTTCTCGGCCATTTAATCCAATATTGTGATATATTGTAAACCATCTGCATTAACTTGTACAACTGTGATCATTTTAGTCTGGCTGGCTAACTTTTCCCCCCATGTGTGTTGAAAACAGCTGTCCTTCCTTTCCTAAATATATTTAAAATGGGATTAACATCATAGCACGTAGATGATGTTAAACTGTTACTCCATGGATCTCAGAGCCTTGCTCCTTCAGACAGAATTCTGGGTGCCACTATACCAAGCCCAGACCAAGTGGTTTCTGCAACTCTGAAAAAAGTTAATACATAACTGTAGCTACAGCAGCATTAACATTTTCACTTTAATGGAAATGCTAAAGAATTATCCTAGAAAAGTTTCTTAATTACTGTTCTCTTAATTTCTTTTGCATCAATATAAGGTTTCTAATAGAAGTCACAGAACTTTAAAGAAGCCTGACTGAGAGCGCAAGAACAAACCTTCCCAATGCACAGGAAGATTAGCAAGTATGGTAGAAGACCAGCTTGTTTAGCAGAGAACTCTTCAGTAAACTAAGTCACAAAAAGGAAGCTTACAAGAAGTGGAAACTTGGACAAATAACTAGGGAAGAATACAAGAGCATTGCTCAGGCATGCAAGGATGAAGTCAAGAAGGCCAAAGGGCAATTGTAGTTGCAGCTAAGCAAGGGATGCAAAGGGTAACAACAAGGGTTTCTACAAGTATGTCGGTAGCAAGAGGAGGATCAGGGAAAGTGTGGGTCCTTTACTGAATGGGGGAGGCAACCTAGTGACAGAGGATGCAGAAAAGACTGAAGTGCTTGATGCCTTTTTTGCCTCAGTCTTCACAGGCAAGGTCAGCTCCCAGACTACTGCACCGGGCAGCACAGTTTGGGGAGAAGGTGAGCAGCCAACAGTGGCAAAAGAATAGGTTAGGGACTATTTAGAAAAGCTGGACATGTACAAGTCCATGAGGGTGCTGAGGGAGTTGGCTAATGTAATTGCAGAACATGGCCATCATCTTTGAAAGTTCATGGTGATCAGGTGAGATCCCAGACAATTGGAAAAGGGCACACAGTGGCCATATTTAAGAAAAGGGAAAAGGAGGATCCAGGGAACTACAGACTAGTCAGCCTTACTTCAGTCCCTGGAAAAATCATGAAGCAGATCCTTAAGGAATCCATTTTTAAGCACTTGGAGCAGAAAAAGGTAATTACGAACAGTCAGCATGGATTCACCAGGAGCAAGTCATGCCTCACCAACCTAATTGCCTTCTATGATGAGGTGACTAGCTCTGCAGATGCTGGGAGACTGGTGGATGTTGTGTACCTTGATTTTAGCAAGGTTTTTGATATGGTCACCCACAACATTCTCACAGGCAAGCTAAGAAAGTATGGACTGGATGAATGGACTGTAAGGTGGAACTGGGTGGAGCATCAGGCTGAGAGAGCAATGGCTCAATATCTAGTTGGCAGCCAGTATCAAGTGGAGTGCCCCAGAGGTTGGTCCTGGGGCCAATTTTGTTCAATGCCTTTATCAACAACCTGGAAAATGGCATAGAGTGCATCCTCAGCAAGTCTGCAGATGAAACTAAACTCTGGGGGAAGTAGTAGATATTCTGGAGGGTAGGGCTAAGATTCAGAGTGACCTAGACAAATCGGAGGATTCGGCCAAAAGGAATCTCATGAGGTTCATTAAGGAGAAGTGCAAAGTGCACTTAGGATGGAACAATCCCATGACCCAGTACAGACTGGGGGCTGACAAGCTGGGCAGCAGCTCTGCAGAAAAGGAGCTGGGGATTACAGTGGACTATTAGCTGAATATGAGTCAGCGGTGTGCCCTTGTTGCCAAGACGGCTAACAGTATACTGGGCTGCATTGTTATATGTGTTGCCAGTAGGTCAAAGGAAGTGATTCTTCCCCTCTATTCTGCACTGGTGAGGCTGTATCTGGAGTACTGTGTTCAGTTTTGGGTACCCACTACAGAAAGGATGTGGACGAATGGGAGAGAGACCAGTGGAGAGCAACAAAAATGGTGAGGGGACTGGGGGACATGACTTAGGAGGACACGCTGAGGGAACAGGGCTTATTTAGTCTAGATAAGAGAAGACTGAGCGGAGATAGTTTCATAGTTTCTAGGGTCGGAAGGGACCTGAGCAGATCATCTAGTCCGACCCCGTGCCATGGCAGGAAAGAGTACTGGGGTCAAACGACCCCAGCAAGATGTTCATCTGTTCATCTAACCTTCTCTTAAAA